GACTATAACCACAGACAAAGGCAATGCCACTCAGTTGAGGCTTCACTACACTCGAGTGCATCAATGTCTTCAGAATTGAGGAGCAAAGGGGCTGTGCTGATGGTGGGGATAACCTCAGGGTTCAGTGCTGTGAAATCCTATACAGGAAACAAGTAAGAGAATTAGTTCCTGTTACTAACTCTTCTACTAATTAAAAGTGAAAACAGGGACATTAAATATTAATTGCAGAGATTAACAAGCAGAAAAATACCTCATTGTACTTTCCATGGAAGTTCACTAAATGTAGCTCACCAAAGGAATCTTACTGAGAGGATTTATAGTCCAGGTTCTGAGTAAATTAACATTGCAAATTAGTGGTTCCACTGGGATTTTAATTTCAACCAAGTTTACTGTGTTTTCCTTTACATGTCTAAAAATCTTTAGATGTTGTACCCACTCTTCCAGACGCAGCACTTTGGGACATAATACTATCATAATTTTAAAATTTGTACAAGAATGAATAATAATAAACTAAGTAGCAATTAGTTTTAGAACTTGTGTGTGGTGGTGGCCTACTTAAATATAATTAAAATAGAGAAACTGGCTTGGCTTATGGGACACCCTTAACAAAGGCTCAGTTCCTATTTATGCTTCCTGTATCTTTCTTTGGGTAGTGTTCTTTGGCTTTGAATGCTTTCATAGAGAGATAAGATCAACACACTCAGTTTCTTATTTATGGTGCTCTAACTCTTATTTATTTATTTATTTATTAAAGATTTCTGTCTCTTCCCCACCGCCGCCTCCCCTTTCCCTTCCCCTCACCCGATCAAGTCCCCCTCCCTCGTCAGCCCAAAGAGCAATCAGGGTTCCCTTCCCTGTGGGAAGTCCAAGGACCACCCATCTCCATCCAGGTCTAGTAAGGTGAGCATCCAAACTGCCTAGGCTCTCACAAAGCCAATAGGTGCAGTAGGATCAAAAACCCATTGCCATTTTTCTTGAGTTCTCAGTAGTCCTCCTTGTCCGCTATGTTCAGCGAGACCGGTTTTATCCTGGGCTTTTTTCAGATCCAGGCCAGCTGGCCTTGGTGAGTTCCCGATAGAGCATCTCCATTGTCTCAGTGTGTGGGTGCACCCCTCGCGGTCCTGAGTTCCTTGCTCGTGCTCTCTCTCCTAGTGCTCCTGATTTGGACCTTGAGATTTCAGTCTGGTGCTCCAATGTGGGTCTCTGTCTCTGTCTCCTTTCATCGCCTGATGAAGGTTAATATTCAGGAGGATGTCTATATGTTTTTCTTTGGGTTCTCCTTCTTATTTAGCTTCTCTAAGATGACGAAATTATAGGCTCAATGCCCTTTATTTATGGCTAGAAACCAAATATCAGTGAGTACATCCCATGTTCCTCTTTTTGGGTCTGGCTTACCTCACTCAGGATAGTGTTTTCTATTTCCATCCATTTGCCTGCAAACTTCAAGAAGTCCTTGTTTTTTACTGCTGAGTAGTACTCTAATATGTACATATTCCATACTTTCTTCATCCATTCTTCTGAGGATGGATGACCTAGCTGCTGATATCTCCCCACACTGAAAACTCATGGTGTTGGCTGTAAATCAGATGCACGATCCTGAATGTGTTCCCACGCCTCTGCATTTTAACCAGTTCTGGGTTTCGGGAAGGGTTCTGACTGTCACTGCAAGAAGTGTCTTTGATGAGGGGTCAGATCCACAGCTATCCTTGGGCATGAGAAGAAGAACAAATTAGATATCATATTGTCTTAGGAAAATGGCGTTAGTAAGTTCTCCACTAGAGTCATGACCTTTCCAGCCATGAGTGGTTAGCTAAGGGTTATATAGTTCCAGGCGTGTATCCCTCTTTTATCCACTACTTAGGTAGCAGATGGTAACTTCCCACTTGTAAGTGCCACTACTGCACCAGCAGGGATATTTTGCTGGATCAAGCATTGATATTGTTTACAGCCCAGAAGGACTACTGGTTGTTCTCCTCCTCCCTTGGTAGCTTGCATTGTACTTTCAGCTATTATGAGAGCCATTATGTGTGAGGAGGGGTCCAGGTCAACTCTAGATGAATTCCTGGAAATACCACGTTAAAAGTATGTGGTATCTGCAGCAATGTGGTCTTACCTTCCTGTTCTGGTAGGCAACAAAGGGCAATGGGATTCCTCCAACCAACAACTCAACAAGGGAAGTTTTCTCTGCCTACCACTGGGGAATTCTGTTATTCTCTTGGGGCCAGTATTAAAACTCTTTGTTACAGAACTCATGCACTACACACATACACACATACACTATATATATACACATATATATTATGGCGTTATATATGTATATAACACCCATAATTACATATGCACATATATACATATATTATGTATCATACCTAATTATACACACATATATTACAACATATATATAATTGCACACATAATTATACATTTACATATGTAGTATATATGTGTATGTGTCTGTGTATGTGTGTGTATGTATAGTCAAAAGCCTTCTAAAGGCTGAATCCTCTATATTTTTATACTGTGATTTATGTGTACTTATGGCCTAGATGAATGTATTCTATTGAATATTTAAAGGTTTTAACAAATATCTTCCTCTGTTATTGTAACTTCTGAAGTGATGTTATTTTGTGGACATTTTAAATGATTTTTAGCCTTTGTCTTCTCATTTTATAAAATACCTTTTCTTTCCTTTTAGACTTTTTTAGTGGCTTGTAAAATCTCATTATACTTTGATATGATTAATACTAATTTGTTGACATTGTGCATACTATGGAATCAAATTTATTCTTTTCAATCACGTGTTTATTTGTGTATGTGCATGCACATGTGTGTGCGTGTGTGTGTGAGAGCGAGAGCAAGAGAGCGAGAGAGAGAGCTAGAGAGATCGAGCGAGAGAGAGTGAGAAATAGCAAGAATGTTGGGAATTCAATGTAACTTATGAAGAACGCCATTCTGGGCTCACCCCCTCTGTAACAGTACTAGCCTGAATTCTGATCAGCTTTCCTTGTTAGTCAAAGCAAAGAAATTGTCCAGGGAGAGTGTTACACATGCAAAAGTCATTGCTGTCTGTCACAGAAGAAAGGGCTTAGAGAAGGATTTAGCACATTATAATTCCTTCTCTTAAATTTGGAGAGTGGGGAATGAAGTTAAGTAGGCAGAAAGGGAAAGAGAGCTCAATGTTGGGAAATCTGACGAGGAACCAGAGCTTAAGACTCTGTGTGACCTTCCCATTCCCAGCCCTGCTGGGACACATATGGGATTCTTTTACTCCTCTGGAGTCAGGATGGCAATGGCATCCTCAGGAGCTCTGTGGCGTTCCTGATGTCTTTCCCATATCCGGGCCCCAGTCTCCAGATACTCAGCTAATATGAAGCCTCCACAAGTGCTTATTGGGAGTTGGCTGTACTTTGTTTTCCCCGTTGTTCCTGCTGCTGAAATAGCTTGGGTCTGAAATCAGTCTGGCTGTGGTCACATTGCTTCAGCTAGAGGATATTGTGAAAGCCTGTTACCATAGTAACAGGTGAGTGTTCCCAATTCATGCCAGAAAACAAGGAGCTGGTGACAGCAACTCCTGCTTCTGGGAGACCTTAAGCCTCACCAGGCGCCTGAGTCAGTCAGCAGGCCTGATGGTCCTTTACATCCCTTGTCCCCCAGGCTCCTGAGTCAGTCAGCAGGTCTGATGGTCCTTTACATCCCTTGTCTCCACCACAGAGGCTGGCAGGATCCATCATGCACTGACAAGTTTTTGTTGTTGTTATTTGGGTGTTTTTTTTTTTTTTTTTTTTTTTTTTTTGACAAGGTTTCTCTNCAGATGATTCTTTTTTAATTTTTTATTCTTTTTTGTTTTATTTATTTATTTTTTAAAAGATTTATTTATTTATCTATCTATTTATTGTGTATACAACATTCGGCTTCCATGTATGCCCACACACTAGAAGAGAGCGCCAAATCTCATTACAGATGGTTGTGAGCCACCATGTGGTTGCTGGGAATTGAACTCATGACCTTTGGAAGAGCAGCCAGTGCTCTTAACCACCAAGCCATCTCTCCAGCCCCTCTGTTACTCACTCTGTAGACTACGCTGGCTCAGAACTCAGAGATCCACCTGCCTCTCTGCCTCCAGAGTGCTGGGACTAAAAGTGTGCACAACATCGCCTGACCTTTTTTTTAAGCTAAAATCTTTATAGATTATATTTTTTTTATATTGCTGGTGGATGCCATTTTTCATGAAGGTGAAGATGACATTTCATAGGTTTTGAGTTTTTAGTCATAATACTATAACTTCATATTTCAAGATAAATGAAATTGTAGGAAACTGTATAAGACATGGATAAGAAAAAACATTCAAGAAGTAAATAGAGGATTACTCAAGGGTATCAATTCTAATTAGATCCAGGGTCTTAACTGGAATGAAGAGTCGTCCCCACATCTTCTTCTAGCACACATTTTATTTTTCTTGCCACAAGAGTTCGCATAATAATCCCAGGGTAAGCAGAGTCACCATACATGGGGGCTCATTCTTGGTCCATAAATAACCATCCTTGCTGTGATCCCCCACGGTGAAGGAGTAAGGCAGCTCTCTGGAACCTCTCTGGAAAGAGCACTGTCCCTGAGAATTTCGCCAGCCTCTCCTACTTCCCAACCAATCTCCTTGAGAGAGGGTTTTAATATATCAGCTTCACCCATAGATTTTGAGAGACAAACATGGAGATAAAAGCACTTTACTCTTCAGCCTAGTCAATCACAAATAAGGAAATAGTTAAATCTTCTTTAGCCAGCATGCAGGTCTCATGGGGCTTGAGAACCTCCGAGTTCTTTTAAAGCTTACGACTTTATGACTCTGCTCCAGAGCTAACACTGGGGAAGCTCGCTGTTAACACCCCCAGTTCTCTGTATGTAGAGCATCATGGTTGGTCACAAGAGCACAGTTTATCATTTCAGAACTACAAACAGTGTCAAGTTAGGTATTATTTTTATCACAGATATCTTTTTCATTTAAGGAAATGCAGAATATGGCAGTCACTGAAGTTGTGTCATCTGCACTATTTGCTTGTATTTCACTATGGTCCTGAAAGTCCTGTGGTATGTACCAAGTATCATCTTTATAGCTACAGCCTCACTGTTTTCTTAAGTCTGAATGTTTTTTAAATAATTTCAAAAGTATCATAAAGAAGAAGATATAAAAATGACTTTAAGTTCAACCAGCACAAAACCTAGAGACAGTACTTTGGGTAGAATTATCACAAATATTTCTGGTATCTTATGTACAGGGAAAGAAAATGACTATAAGAAACATGGAAAGTGACTTAACATATACACATAGTTCAAGTAGCTTAACTGTGCCGTCGGGCATTAGCTTCAGGACATCCAGATTTTAACAGTATCTTCATCATCCAGACGTGTTTCTTCCAGGCTTACTTCTGCTTTCAAACACTGGTAAGAGTGAACACTTAAGCCTTTAATGGGCAATAAAACAAGGTGCAATTTTAAATTTCAAAATGAAAAGAAACTTTAAATTCTGCTTTGAAGAAACATTAGGATCAGCGTTATAATGTATCAGCATCATAGTTTCTTTAACTTAAAAGTCGTTCTTTCAGTGCCAGATGCAGAGGAAGCAAGATGAGAATGCCTTACTGAGAAATGGTACCAAGAGATATAGCTAAACATAGATGAAAATTATGAATTAAATTAACTTGTAAAAACTAGTTAGTAGTAAGTGACATGATCTTTTGTGAATTAGAATATATAAATATTTTTAAGTTATACTCTCTAGAATTAAGATTATTCTATGTATCAAAATGCAACAGAGTTCTAGTTCTATTTAAGAAAACAGGTAAATATATAGGTAGACAGGAAATTCTCTTACAATACAGAAAATGACTCTTTCAATAAAACTGAGAAAATTTACTCCTGTGACAACCTCCAACACTACTAAAAATGCATTTTGAAAATTCAGTTCTTAGTCATTTAATATTGAAATCACACAATGATATTAAATATCTTGCAGAATTAACAAACAAAGCAAAAAGAGCATGGCATTTACCAATGTAAATGATATACACTTTGAGAGTTCAGTTTTGTATCTTTATTCTGTAATGGTAAAAATCTGAAGAAAATAAACAGAGGTCTGCCAACAGACTAGCGGTGGCAGGCAGACTGATGAGGTTGGCACATGTTTGTTAAAACACTTAACATTCCTGGAGGGAAGAGTGTTGTCCAAGTTTACCTCATCATTGTACCTATGACTTCAAAGGCCTTACTGAGTAAAGAAACTGAGCTTTCTCTAAATGTCTTCTTTTTTTTCCAAATGATTTCCTAGAATAATACTGAAAAATATGTAAGTGCTATATTAAAGGAATGGGCAGCAAGTAAGGCGAGAGATTTTTAAATGATGTCTGTAGATATTTATACTTTATACACCAAGACCTGGAAAAAAAAATCCCCTCTTCCCATAAGCAGCACCACGGCTGTTGGAAATTGTCTCATTCCATGTGTGTATTGGGACTGATGGGAAAAGAGATTTAGAGAATAAAAAGAGATTTTCGAACTAAGACAGAAAAAAAAGAAAAGAAGAGAAAAAAGAAAAGAAAAAAGAAATCCAGCACACCCCAAGTGAGTATCAGTTACTTGTAATGGGTACAATTCCCTGCCCTGTGTGTCTTCAAAGGCAGAAGACAAAGAAGGTGTACTAAAAATAGAGCCCTTGTGCTGACGCGAGAAACAACTTACTCTTAATATGAGGCATGGGAGCTCAGGGTGGAAGGCGGATAAAGGAATGAAGCTCCCATCAGTTTTGTTTTCTGACCCTTTGAGTCTAATATTCAAGTTTTGTTGACTATTTTATGCAATGACAATGTAGCTCATCACTTTGATTAAATCAAGTGGATTTGTAATAGTCTTAAGCCAATTTTCTCCAAGGCCAAGTAAAATGACCCTTGAACAAAAGCACAGATCTTCGAAAATCTAGTGAGCAACTTAGTTAAATTATCCAATTACCTCTGACCAAAGATCATAAGTAGAGATGGATGGATAAATCTATAATTTAACTTCAAGATAATTTTCACAACTCATCTTCAATTTTTTCTCCAGCTTCTAGAAAAGGCAAGAGCTAACTGGGTCATGCATTTCACTATGGAAAGATATGAAGAAGTTTCCAGTTCAAAATAACTACATGATCATGAAGCTGCTAGGGTCTTCCTTCACATTATCTGTGAGGTAAGAGGGGCTATAGAGTTGTGTTAGCCCCACGAGGTCAGATATTTCACTTAAAGGAAGTGCAATCAGGGTAGAAGAAGGTGGTTGTTAGGAGACGCCATTTCTCAAATGCTCTGTAAAAATGTTCTCCTTTTTTTCTGATAACTTGGGGTAAAAGAAAATGTAAAGGTATAGAGCTCTCAAGAGTGTGAGGGGACACTTCACCAAAGACCTGATGCCCTTCGTTTCTTGTCTGAAAGTCCTGGCTTTTACATATACAGCAGTTATAGAGAATACCTTGCTTCCTTTTTTTGTTTGTTTGTTTTTGTTTTCTCTTTGCTTATCTCGCTTTCTTGGTAGAGATTCAAGAAGTTCTGAGTGTAAGGCACTTCAGACCATTACCCTCGTTTCTTACGTAATAGATCCATCTGTAGGATTGTAGTATAATTTAAGCTTTCATCCTTTAGCCAAGATTCCTCAATAGCCAGCTTGTACTGAGACTAAAGAGCATTATAAAAAATATTTTATTTTCTTCAGTGTTTCAGAATAAAACTGTCTTCATTTCTTGAAGATTGATTACAGTAGGGAATCTAAGAGGCAGAAGATGAATTTCTCATGGTGATCTTATGAAGAAAGATGAATATTAGAACCTTAAGAGTAGTAATGTGTTTTACTCTTTACCTAACTTCAAGCCCTCAGAGACAAGTTCAATAGAGTTTCTGTTTCTTACCTTCTGACCCCTCCACTTGGAGTGCTTTTATAACCAATCACATATCTCAATGATTAGAATGCAAAGCTCCCTTTCCAGGGCTTCTCCTCTTCCTGGAGCCCTGCATTTCTCTCTTTTTGATGACACACAGACCAAGTTTACAAGGAAATGTTTATGCACATAATTATCTACAATCCATTTACATTTGCTTGGAGTTTTTAGGTCAACCACTCAGAATAGATACTGAATTTAGAAAGCCCTAGGATTTTTATTTCTTGTCAGAAAGAAAGCTGTAAATATGGTCAAGAACTCAAGGTCAAAGGAGCTGGGTAGATTCCTACAAAATAAATTAGGAGAATGATTTGCATGATCTTCTCTATACATACTGTGTTTGCACATTTAAAGTCGTTAAAATAACCAGCAATTTTTTCCATAGTTCAAGTAAAAAAGAAAATACATTGCTTCATCATGAGATTATCCTCAGCACTAATGGAATATTTGATTCATTATCATATTAAATGTTATGATAACTGATTAAACTATTTCTGGGAACCGAAGCACTGAAGAATGCATCTATAGAGGGAAAACTGCTCCCACTGCTCTGTCCAAGGCACGTCTTGTTGCTTTGGTTTCCAAGTCAGTAAGGTCCTTGTCCCTAGGGAGCTGTTGGGCTCAGCGTGAGCCGGGGCGATAGCAATGTCCAGAGCTAAGGAACATTTTGCAGCCAACTCCACCAAACTAACTTATTTTTATTTCTTGACTCCCTGTTGAGATTTTCCTCAAGAACAATATATTGCCAGAAACCTTGATTCTGACTCGAGCATCTTGTCATGCCGGTCAAGGAGGGAATGAAGAGTTTCTTGGTAATGTTCTGCCTTGATTAGGCAGCTCTTGAAGCTCAGCTGTATGAAGATATATACAAATGGCTCCAAAGAGTCCACATGTTTCCTCTAATTGCCTTTCCCTGAATTTGCCAGAGGGAACCCTTTCAACAGATGTCATGACAGTATGGAACTGCCCCAGCAATCGATTTTAATAACTCATGGATCGAGAATGTGTTCAGTGGAAATATGTCTGCTAGAAACATATGTGGTGTTGGCACATTTTATACAAGCAGCTAACAGAATGTGGAAAACTTATGTACAGGAAGTTCAGCATTTCCTCTTGGGAGTGTTGCTCATACGTTTTTTTTCTTCTAGCACATTACTCACCATGAAGCTTATCTAAATGTTAGGGGGCAGAGGGCTTTTGTTGTTGTTATTGTTTTTGTTCTTGTTTAAGCCTGTGGTCTTTTCCCTGGGTCCCTGACATCCCTTCCTACTATATATCAACTGAGAAGGCACGCAGGAGAGTTTTACCCTTTTCTGTTCCTCTAATATCGTTAAGTTCTTCAGAGCCTTGTTACTCTTTATTTTTCCTGAGAGAGGAACTATGGATTTTCTGTTTTTTAAACCATTGTGGAGTTGTCTCCATTCCAGTTCTGCAGTGAAAATCTTCTCTTCTCCTCTGTGTCTTTTGCCCTCGTGGGCAGGTTGTGTCCTTCTTCAGTGATTGCAGAAATGCTTTTCTTTATCTTTAAGAATCTTGTCAGAATCAGGCTGAAACTACATAAGGCAAAACAGGAATGTGAATGAATGCCTGAAGTAGTGTGTTAAGAATCACTTTTATCTTCCTACAGATATATATTGCTTATAAAAGAATTTGTAGTTAATAAATGGAATTTCTTTTTCTTTTTTATTGAGCTATACATTTGGGATTTCTTAATAAAGCTATATTTCTTAGCAATTTGATTTTTTTTAAAGAAAGTATTTATTTTATCCATTAGTATGATTCTTTTGTCTGAATGTCTGTAACTACATGTGCCCAGGAGGGAGAGAAAGTGATGTCAGGTGTTGGGTCATGGTCAAAAAGAGTGCTGTATGGTGAGCAATGCCGTGGGAAAAGGGGGAGAGAGATAGATAGATAGATAGATAGATAGATAGATAGATAGATAGATAGGTAGGTAGGTAGGTAGAGAGGGAGGGAGGGAGGGAGGGAGGGGGGGGGAGGGAGGGAGGGAGGGAGGGAGGGAGGGAGGGAGAGAGAGAGAGAGAGAGAGCGAGCGAGCAGGAATAAAGGCAGAGGGCCTTTTACCTCAGGTGTATTTTGTTCCCTGAATTGTTCTTGGATGCGATTTCCTCTCACCTGTGGCAAACATTTATATTCAATTTATAAGACATGTTCATTCTTGCTGGATATCAGAACACAGCTGTAGAACCCAATCTGTTCAGTGTACCCTGAATCTGGAAAAAGGCCTTCTGCCTTGCTTTCATGTTTTCCTGGATATAATCTGTTGTACACAACTGACAGTTGTGTTTAAATTGGTCTGTCCTGAGAACGTTATGGGAAAGAACTGCTATGTTGGTATTTAGTATATGCTTACTGAATTTTATTTACATGTTTTTCTGAAACCACAACCTTCCTTGGACCATTGTTTTCCTTGTTATATTCACATATAAAATCACACTGAAACTGAAGTAAGGTGTCTACAGGAATAGACTGTGGTCCACTCCATTCTTTCAGGACCTCAGATCCCAGGTCCGACAGACAAGCTCTTCACAGGTTGGCTGAAAAGTCAACATCAGGTTCTCTGGAACTGGAGTCGAATAAAGGTGTGAGTTGTCACATGGGTTCTGAGAATCAAACACACATCCTATTCAAAGAGTAGCAAGTATTCTTATCCCCCGAGCCATCTCTCTACCCCCATCAGTTTCATTTTTCTTGGTATTGTTATCTTAAATTCTGTACACCCTTTTATTTTCCCAAGCACCTAAAAAAAAAAAACAAAACAAAATATATTATTTTCACATTGAATGAAAGTTGGGAGTTAATTTTTTTTTCCACCGGAAACTGTCATAGGCTCTAATTTATCTGCTTTTTTTCCCCCAGTTTAAGATTATTTTCACTGTCAAAATATGAAAACAGGCCCTGAGAAAAGGAGAAGCCAGCTACATTGGACAATGAAGTGAGGGCCGTTGTCCTGGAAACGGGATGATAAAGAGAGTGAAACCCATGCCTAGTGGTGGCGACAGCTAGCTGGACAGGAGGCCTGGGAAGTCTCCCTGACTTACTCACATGGAACATTTTCAGCGAGTGAGGGTGATGCAAATTTGGCATGGATCTCTTTTTTACTTATATTTTTAAATAATTTCCATCATTTTGAGTCCTTTTATTTTCTTTTTGATGTTTATTTTATTTTTTAAAAAGTTATCTTTTCTCATTTTACATGGCAAATCCAGTTCCCACTTTCTCCCCTCCTCCTGCTCCCTTTACCTTCCTCCCCCATCCCTCCACCCATCCATTTCTCAGAAAGGGTAAGCCTTCCTATGAGGAATCAACAAAGTCTAACACATTGCTTTGAGGCAGGGCCAAGGCTCTCGCACTATATCTAGGCTGAGCAAGGTATCCCTCTAGAGAGAATGGGTTCCAAAAAGCCAGAAGAAGCAGTAGGGATAAATTGTGGTCTCTCTGCCAGTGGCCCTACAGTCTACCCCAGCCATAAACCTGTCACCCACATTTGGTCCTTTGCTGGTTCCTTTGATGTCAGGCCAGGGTTGGAAGACTTCCATTAGCTCAGGTAAACTGTTGCAGTGGGTATCCCCATCATAGTCTTGACCTCTTTGCTTGGATTCTCATTCTTCCCTCTCTTCGACTGGACCATTGTGGTTCTCTGCATGTGCTTTCATCATTTGCTGGATGTAGGTTCTGTGATGACATTTGAGATAGTCATCAACCTGACTACAGGGCAAGGCAAGTTCAGGCACCCTCTCCACTATTGCTTATGGTCTTAGCAATCCTTGTGCATTCCTGGGAATTTTTCTAGTGCTAGGTTCCTTGCTAGCCCCATAATGGCTTCCCCAATCAAGTTAACTGTTTCCTAGTTCTCTGTCTCTGTTCTTCTCCCATCTGGACCATCTAGTTCTCTCTAGTTCTCCTCCCCTCTCCCCTTCTCTTTTCCTCCTCCCCTTCTGCCTTCCCTTCTCTCCCCCAACCCATGCTCCCAATTTTCACAGGAGACCTTGTCTATTTTTTTTTCCAGGGGGATCTATGTATGTTTCTCTTAGGGCTCTCCTTGTTAGCTTCTCTGGGGTCACAGTCTATAGGCTCTTTATTCTTTGCTTTAGTTAGTACTCACCAATGAATGGATACATACCATGCTAATCCTTCTGGATCTGGGTTACCTCACTCAGGATGGTTTTTCTAGTACCATCCATTTGCATGCAAATCTCAAGTCATTTTTTAATTTTTACCACTGAGTAGTACTCCATTGTGT